AAAGAGGTGCGTGCAGATTTTCTGAGGCCCTGCATGTCTGAAAATGTCCTTGGTCTGCGCTCACAGCTAATCGTTTGTCTGAGAACACACTTCGAAGCTGGACACGGCTTTCCCTCGAAAATTTGAAGGCCCCCATTGTCTGTGGGCAGAAGGGGGCTGAGCATGAAGCGAGTCCGAGTCTTGATTTTCTGTGTGTGAAAACTTCCCAGCGTTTCTGTTTGTTTGCTTTTCCCGTTTTCTCTTTTTCACGTCTGGGAGCTTGTAGGAGATTCTCTTTGTCTTTGTCTGCAAGCCCCTTGGCGCTGAGCATGGGCGGGGTCCGCGTCCACGACGCAGGGTACCTAGGGGCCTGTAACGGACACTCAGATCCGCTCAGGGCGGGAAAGGGTTTGCGTTAATTCTTTAATTTATCTTCTCCCATTTCCCTCTGCTCTCCTTTGAGAATGGTTTGTATTTGCTGGTCAGCTGCCTGAACCGGTTCTCTCTCTCTTTTTAAAAATTTATTGATTTGAGAGAGAAAAAGGAAGGGGGGAGAGCAGGAGGGAGGGGAAGAGATCACTTTGTTGTTCCACTTACTGATGCGTCATTGGGTGGTACTTGCGTGTGCCCCGACTGGGGATCGGACCCGCAACATGGCGTGGGGACGACGCTCTAACAGCTGAGCTACCCACCCAGCTGGGGTTCTCTCTTGGTCTCCTATTTTGTGTCTTTTGTGTTGTTTTAGGTTATGGGGCATAGCAACTTGACTAATTTTTCAAGTGGATTTTTCTATCTTCATTTTTAATTTCTATTTTAATTTTTAAGGACCTCTTTGTTCCTTTTTTTAATTATTTTTTTTCTAAATTGACTTTTTTTAAGAATAGCTTTAGATTCCTTGCAGAAAAGTTGAGTGGAAAATACAGATTTTCTATCTCCCCCCTCCCCTGGCTCCCAGCCTCCACCGCTTCCCTCACTCATCACCGCCATGAGAGTGGGACGTGTGTGACAGTCGCTGAGCCTACAGTGATGAAATATCACCCCTAAATAATTATTCTTATTTTAGTGGCATCATATTCCCGTTTCACAGATGCACTGTCTTCTTTTTAAATCTCTTTTTGGAGATGTTAGTTTTTATGGATTTTCGTTTTAGTTTTTCCTGTAGTTCCTTCTCTCCAGTTGTTGTTACTTTTTCACTTTTACTTTTTTTTTTTTCCTGCCTGTGGCTGGCTCCCCAGAAAGCAGACCCTTGGGCAGGCAGGAACTTACGTGCGTGTTTGATTTGGGTGTGCGAGCGGCGGAGCGGGGGAGGGGAGCAGGCCAGGCGAGCGGACACGCGGCACAGGGCTGGGCTTTCTGGATTCCTTCCTGTCGTCTCCCTCCGTCCTCCCTCGCGCGCACCCACATCCTGGACCAGCCGCTGGGCGCCGGGAGCCCCCCCAGTCCTCCGGGGGCTCGTGGCGGAGGTAGCCCTTCTGTCCCGCGCCCCCCTCTTCTCGCCCTGGCGGCTGCAGGCGGCCCCGAGGAAAGCCGCGCGCTCCCCCGCGGGTAACTTTCTCTGGGACCTTAGACAAGTTCATCTGTCTGCGCGCTGCCTCCTCGGGGCTTCTGGGGGGGGGGGGGTGGACCCCGTGCCGGGGCTCCCCCCGCAGCATCGGGGGCTGCGAGCGGGCCAGTCGGGACCTGCCCCGACGGAGAGGCTCTTGCCCTTTGTTCTGGGGTGGACACTCCTTGGTGGCTGCGCTCAGAACCTGCCTCCTGCCGGCTTTCATGTGATCGATTCTAAGTAGCGAAAGAATGTAGGCCTGACCTCCGGGAGGGGCCTCCTCGGCGGCACAGCTGCTGCTCCCCGCTTCCTCGAGCGGTGAGTCAGGGGTCCCGCGCCGGCCGGCCGCTGGCCCTGCAGGGCGCCTCCCTCCGCAGCCCCTCTCCCCTCGGCACCCCGCTGCCTTCTGCGTCTGCTCGCGGGCCGTGTCCGAGCGGCGGCGGTTCCTGTCCCCCTGCCTTTCTATCCCCCAGCTCCTCTACTGCGTGCTCTGCGGGGAGGGCCCCTGCCCACGGGTCCGTCTGTCGCCCTGAGTGCAAGCCCCTTAACCTGTCCACGCCTCCCTCCGCCGCGGTGGTGGCAGGGGTGTGTGTGTGCAGGGACTACGGGTCGCAGATGTCCCATATCCATTTCCTTGCTATCCTTTTAAATTCATGTCTTTTCTCTGTGCTGTCCCAATAGCTTTATGCCTGTGGCTTCAAGACATAGTCTGTGCCTTCTTTGGTGTTCCTGCCGGCATTTTGGGGAGGGGAGTTAGACCATCCTGACTCTGGACAACTAGAAATGGCTGGCTTTGGGGGGTCACAGGGTCCCCCAGGCGGGTGGGGAGAATGGAGACTGGCCACATGTCTGACGGGTGGTGGGTCTGAGATTTCCCCCTCCGCCCCCAGCGCAGTGTTCTGTGCGGTTTCAGGGGTGGGTAAGGAGGACTTTGGGGTTCTGTGAGTGGCCAGTATGCGCCCTTGCTCAGTAGGGTGGAGGGGGTTCGTGGGGAGGGCTGTTTTTTTTTGTGGGCTTTTATTTTGGATTGCCATGAGAACCAGGGGTCCGCATCAGGACAATGGAGGGCCCCTGGGGGGCCTCATGGCATGACCCCCGCACACCAGGCCTGGTCCTGGGATCCCTGTGGTGGACATGGACCAGGCCCTGCTAGCCTCCGCCCCTTCCTCAGAAGTGCCTCTCCTGGAGGTGGAGGAGTGGGGGGCGGGGGCTCCGCTGTAGGCCCGTGCAGAGTGTTGGGGTGTGCCCCACTGGGCAGATTTGGAAGTGGCTTCCCTACTTCTCCGTGGGGGATGGAGCACACCAGGCTGTGTCAGAGGCCAGGGACCCCGGGATCTGGTGCTGTGCGCCCAGCTCCCCAGTCCATCCGGCCGTGGAGCTGTGCTGCCAGCCGACCAGCTGAGCGGCCTCCCCTACTGCGACTTGTGCCCGCGCCCAGCGGTGCGCGCACAGCGACTTTGTGCGGCAATTCCCGCGCCGCGGGTGCCGGTGCAGCGGGCGAACCCTCGGCGCCGTGGTTCCGTGGTTCCGTGGTCCGCTCTGCACTTCACCGGCGGACCCGGAGCCGCTGGGCGTTCTGTGCCCGCGCCCGCAGCAGCCCCGTGCGCGCAGGAGCCGGCGCGGCAGCCCGCTCAGCGTTGCCAGGCAGCGCAGGTGCCGCGCGGCGCTCGGAGCGCTTCAGCACTTCGGCCAGCGGACCAGCTGAGCGTGTTCCCACGCTGCGCGCTCGGCCTCGGCCCAGCCGCGTGCGCCCAGCGACCCCGTGCGGCCGCCCCGCGAGGTGCCGGGCACCGGAAGTCCCACCCTCGGCGCGCGCCGCGGTCCGCTTCAGCACTTCGGCCAGCGGACCAGCTGAGCCGGCTCCCACGCCAGGCCGGGCGCCCGGTGCCGCCTGTGCCCGCGCCCGGCCGCCCGCGCGCGGCGACCCCGTGCCGCAGGTGCCGCTCAGCAGGTGCCCGGCACTGAGGGGGGCGCCGCGGCCGGCCCTCCGTGCTGTGGCGCCGTGGTCCGCTTCGGCCGACGGACTCGCCGGGCGCACCGTGCCGCGGGTGCCCGCGCCCGGCCGCAGGCGCGCAGTGACCCCGTCTGCCAAGTTCCTCTCGGCTCGGCGGGTGACGGACACCGACGTGAGGGCCCCGGAAGTCCCACCCGCGGTACGTCTCTGCGGTCCCGCTTCTGCGCCGGCCTGGCGGACCAACCGAGTGGGCTCCCAGGCTGCGCTGCCCCGGCCCCGCCGTGAGCGCGCGTGACCCCCGGCGCCAAGTCCCGCTGAGCGGGGAAACCGGAAGTCCCACCCGCGCGCGGTACGGCAAGCCGGCGGGGCAGACCAGTGGAGCGGGCTCCCAGGCTGCTTCCTACGCACTGCGCGGCCGTGCCCCAGCCCAGCCGTGAGCGCGCAGTGACCCCACGCGCCCAGTCCTGCTCAGTGGGTGCCGGGCGCCAATGAACCGGAAGTCCCACCCGCGGTACGGCACGCCGGCCGGGCAGACCAGCTGGGCGGGCTCCGGTGCTCCGCACCGCGCCCGGCGTTCCGCGCCGCCGTGCCCCAGCCCGGCCGTGCGCGCGGCGACCCCATGCGGCAAGTCCCGCTCAGCCGGTGCCGGGCACCGACGCAGGGGCACCAGAGGTACCACCCGCGGTGAGGCTCTGCGGTCCACTCGGGCGCCCCGGCCAGCGAACCAGCTGGGCAGTCTCCTACGCCGCGCACTGCGCCTGCGCAGCCTGCGCCCCTGCCCAGCCGTGTGCGCGCAGCGACCCCGTGCGGCAAGGCTGGCGCACAGAGCGCGGGTACGCGGGTGCACCGGCGATCCTTTCCGCGGTGTGGCTCTCGAGACCGCGGCACGCAGGCCGGCGGAGCGGCTGGGCGGTCTCCTGCGCTGCGCACTGCGCTCTGCGCAGCCGGTGCCCCCGCCCAGCCACGCACACGCAGCGGCTCCATGCTGCAAGTCTCGCCACAGCGGGTACGTGGGTGCACCGACGGTGCCTTCCGCGGTGTGGCTCTGTTGTCCGCGCGGCGCGCAGGCCAGGCCGGCGGGCCAGCTGGGCGGGCTCCGACGCTGCGCATTGTGCACTGCGCACGACGTGGCCGGTGCCCCCGCCCAGCCGTGTGCGCGCAGCGACCCCCTGCGGCAAGTCCCGCGCGCGCACAGCGGGTGCCGGGCCTGGCGCGGGTGCACCGACAGCCCCTTCCGCGGTGTGGCTCTCTTGTCCGCTTCTGCGTGCTCGCCGGTCGGCCGGCCCTGCAGCCGGCCGCTTTGTCCCCGCCGCCTGTGTGGTCCGGGGGCTCCGGTTGCCGCGTGTTTTTCAGACGCGCCGCCCCCCCCCCCCCCCCCCAGCTCGGGCGGCGGCCATGGCCGCCCGCGGAGACCTGGGCCCAGTAGCCTCTGTGGATGGTAGCTATCCCACTTGTGATATTAATTGTTTAATATGGAACAAGTAATGACTCTCCCAGATCCATCCGCCCCTATCTTTTCGCCTAGCGGCGGGCGGGCAGTGGTGCGGGAGCGGCTGGAGAAAGATGAATTTCAAGGCCTGCCTGTACTGCTTTTAAACCTTGATGACGTATATGTCACATTGCCCCTTTCTCCAAAAATTCGCCTCCGCCATCACTATCCAGGGACCCTTTCAGAGGACTGAGGTGAAGAGAAGATGTGGGGAGAGCTCACACGCCTGATGGCGTTCCACGCACTGCTCCGAGCACGTGGGGCTCTCTCGCCCCGGCTCTGCAGAAAAAACAATCAGATCACCTTGTTCACATATTGATTGTCCCTTTGATCCACTGCGGTCTGCCCGTTCATGGCAAGAGCCCCCGCCGGGGAGATGATCAAGGTCTGGGAGGCATCTGCCTGCACCCAGGTAGCTGCCGCGTGGGGACGCTGCGGTCTGCACTGCCCAGTACTTCCCTGCTCTCCTGGCGAGTGCGCGTGGGCACCTGCCCGTTGTTCTCTGTGAGTATGAAGGTGCGACAACCATGGGGGTTAGACGGGGTGATGCCCCAAAGCGCTGGCCTCAGAGGCTGGTCGGAAGAGGCCATGGGACCAGGCGCTGCCTTGGTCTCGTGCATGGCTGGGCCCTTTGGTTTCTGGGAGGCCAGCTGGGTTGCCCCTGTGGGGTGGGAGCGGGCCTCACACCCTGTCCCTTTAGCTCGGTGAGGGTGGGGTGGGGGGGGCAGTTTGAGCGGGTTCTTCTGGGGTTTTCCTGTCCTCTGGTGCTCCCTCCAGTAAGGGTGGTCGGGGCCGCAGGAGAGCAGGCAGCTTTGGGGTGTTCCACCCGACACCAGGGCAGGCTTCCTTGTGGGGTGAGGTGTTGGGTGTTAGTGTTGGTGGCTCAGTTGGGTGGGTGCCCTGAGGGTGGGCGCCCGGGGCTCTCCTTGCTCCTGTAGCAGTGAGCAGGGAGGACAGGCCGAGACTCTGGGCAGAGGGTGCTGCCCACCACCTGTGGGAGAGCAGGAGGCGGGGGGCAGCGGGTGCAGGAATTTCAGGGCGGTAGACGACTCGTGTGAGCTACTTGTAACATCTTCGAAGGCTTTCCAGCCCCAGTCGCCACCCAGAGCTGGGTTTCTGAACTCCCAGAGAACACTGAATCTTTTGAATCTTGGAATTTGGCGACATTTCAAACTCCATCGACGCTCAACCCTCGAGGTCCCACAGAAGCCGGGCAGCCTCTCGGGGTGTGTCCTGTGATTTAGTAAGAATGTCTTAGGCAACCGCGGTGCAGGAGCAGGTGCGCATTCCTCTCCGACGGGCAGGCTGCACTCCCATGATGCTCAGGTGGAGGAATGCTCGGCCAGGACCAGGCGTCATGTCATGGAGGTGTGACCTCTGACCCTCCTGCTTGAGACCCCGACCTCACCGCTGGTCCCCAGGCCCCACCCTCGCCTCGGAAGCCCAGTGTCCGGGGTTTGGCCCTGGACTCGCGGGTCGAGGTGAAGCCCCGTGAGGAGCGGTGCCTGGCTCAGACGTCACCCGGCTCGGGGGCTGCGTCTGGGCCTGGTGACCAGGTGGCCTTCTGAGCTGGAGTCGGAACGTTGGCAGCCCCCACCTCCCAGAACCCTCGCCTCCCCCGGGAGGCCACGGGCAGGACGAGAGGTGGCCGTAGGCTGGTCTGAGCCCTGGGCCCCTGGGCGTGGGGGGAGCGTGAGAAGAAGCCGTTGTGTGGGCCGTCTCGTTTCTGCCTTTTTCATCGACTTTAAAAAGAAGTTGGCTCTGTCCCCAGGGCTCACCCAGCACCACCCAGGCAGGACACCGGCAAGCACGCCCGGCGTTTAGCGTGGTCACACATCAGATCCAAAATCGGTGTGAGCGGCCGGGGTCGGCCGGACTTGGTAGGGTTCACGGGTTGGAAATGAACCGTGCGGCGTGGATTTATCAGGAAAATTCTCCCCTTGCCCCCCCCCCCGGGTGGAGTGGCATCGCCCCTCCCCACGCTGGGGGAAGTTAAGTAAAGGGACGGGAAAACGCCGAGCAGTGCCGCAGAGGAGGGGCCTCTGCTAGGGGAGAGGAGAGACCCTAAATGTGTCCGTGGCCCCTTTAAGTCCCGCTCCTGCTGTCTCTCCTCTGTGTCTGTGTGAGTGTGGCCAGAGTGCTGGTGACTCACTTGGTCATTTGCCTGTGTCACCTGGGATAAGAAGTTATTGTGAGGTTTTGGGGGTTTTTTTTGCTAATTTTTTTCCTTTTTTTATTGGATTTATTGGGGTGACATTGGTTAATAAGTTAATATAGCATAAGAGTTTTGAGGAGGACACGGGCTGGCTTTCGACAAGGACCTGTTCAGTCATTCATCCAGCAGATGTTTGCGGAAGCACCTGACCTGTCTGTCCCCGCCCACTCAGACGGAGAAGAGACACGCGTGGGGGAGGGGAGGGGAGGGAGGCGCAGGGGTGGCGTGGGTGGACTCGAAAATTAAGAAGTCATAGAAAGGTTTCTTTCACTCACTTTCCTGGAGGGCGCTGGCGGATTTCAGGACTGACACCAGTTAAATATTAACCGTGTCTGCAAACAGCAGTGTTATCTCCTAGAGATGGTGTTAAAATGCAGATTCCAGCTCAGGGAGCGGGCTGGGGCCTGAGACCCTCTGTCCACCTCCCCCGGGGCGCCACCGTGCTGGGCCGCGCTCCGAACATGTTCCCTCCCATTCTGTCTTCAGTTTCTTTTTCTCTAGAAAGCCCCCCGAAAAGGACACTTTCCCCTGCGAGAGCTGTTACTTCGTCGGGGAACCTGCCCAGTGTCTTCAGCGACCAGCCGGGCGCTGTTGCGAGTGGCGCTCTCCTGTGCCCTCTCCGCGCTGGACTCCACTTATGACCATGTGCCTGCGGTCCTGCTGGGATGCTTCCTTGGGTTCCCCCGGGTTTTATTCGGTGGTTTCTCTCTCGTTTATGATAAGAACACGTAGAAAGGTCTGGAACCTTCTGAGCCTTGAATGGCCTGGAGCTGATGCTGCCGGCCTTCATTTGAGGAGTGTGTGTGGGGGGTGTCCCCACTGAGCACCCCACTCCTGCGGAGGCCCTGCTGAGGACTGCGAGGGCCCCAGGCAGTGGCGGGGGATGAGGCCGGTGCCCAAGGGAGGCTGCCAGTCTGGCCCGGCCTGTATTGTTAGTGTGAGCTCCGGCCCGGGTGGGGCTGGGTGTCCTCCCAGCAGCGTGTGTCGTAGTCTGGTCTGCGTGTCGGGGTTCACGCCACATCACCTCTTCTTCGTTAGACCTTTTGAACCATCACCCAATTCCTTCCTTGGATAATGGGTCATGGACCGTTGGGGACTTGCATTCTTGCCTCCCCTAGTTGCTCAACACACGTGTCGCTGGACCCCATGGGGCTGGGGGCCCGTTCCTTCCCTCGCCGTCCTCTCTGGGGCACCCCCTAGGTACACGGTGATGTTGGACCGCGCAGTGCTTCCGGAAGGCCAGCCGATGAGCTGATATCCGGGGCCACGTGTGCTCGGAAATGTCGGGGTCGATAAAGTTCACGTCTTATGGCATCTCCTAACTTCCAGAAAACTTGGTGTGACACTCCAAGAGGAAGATAGAGTATGGTGGTTCCAGGTTTGGGGGCACAGCACCCCTTTTTGTGCTGATTATGTCATGGGCCTAGTCTTTTATAGAGCACCCTCTCTTTTTTCAAAAGCAGCTTTATTGAGATGCAATTCACAAATCAGTTTACCCAATTAAAGTGTACAGGTCCATTACAATGAATATACTCAGATATGTGCAATTAGTTTGGTGTGTAGATACATGAATGTAGTATATACAGTGTCCAGTTAGGATAGTCACAGATAGGCACACCCTTGCCACCACGGTCACTTTTACTTTTTTTAAAAAAAATATATGTTTTGCCCTAACAAGTTTGGCTCAGTGGATAGAGCGTCGGCCTGCGGACTGAAGGGTCCCAGGTTCGACTCCGGTCAAGGGCATGTGCCTTGGTTGCGGGCACATTCCCAGTGGGGAGTGTGCAGGAGGCAGCTGATGGATGTTTCTCTCTCATCGATGTTTCTCACTCTCTATCCCTTCCCCTTCCTCTCTGTAAGGAATCAATAAAATATATTTTAAAAAAATATGTTTTTATTGATTTCAGAGAGGAAGAGGGAGAGAGAGAGAAACACCAACAGTGAGAGAGAATCATTGATCAGCTGCTTCCTGCACGGCCCCCTCTGGGGATCGAGCCCAAAACCCGGGCATGTGCCCTGATGGGGAATTGAACTGTGATCGCGTGGTTCTTGTGTCGATACTCAACCACTGAGCCACATCGGCTGGGCCACACTCACTTTTAGAGTAACTCGAGACACCAGAAAAAGCCCTCTACTCTGTCACCGCTCGTCCGCCATCACCCCGCCAATCCTACCAACCACTGCTCTGCTCGCCGTCCCTGTAGATCTCTCTGTTTGGGGATTTTTATGGCTGAGATCATATAATAGGTGGTTCTGTGGCTGGCTTCTTTCACGTAGCGAAATGTTTGCAAGGTTTCTCCATGTATAGCACATGTCGCGATTTCATTTTCACGGCTGAACAATATTACTCTTCCCTTGTATGTACATAACACCTTTTGTTTCTCCATTCATCTGTCTTTGAGTATTTGGGTTGTTTGGACCTTTTGACTGTTGGGAATGATGCATTCATCAACATTGGTTTGGCCCACAGCTCTCTGTCTGAGTCCCTGCTTCCAGTTTTTTTGGGTATATACCAAGAAGTAGAACTGCGGATTACATGGTAAGTCTATATTTAGCGTTTTGAGGAATTGCTGTATGTAAAATGGAGGCTGCACCATTTTACATTCTTGTCAGCAGTGCACAAGGGTTCCAATTTCTCCACATCCTCACCAGCACTTGGAATTTTCCAATTTTTTTTTAAATAGCTGTCCTAAGTGGGGTGAAGTGCTATCTCATTGTGGTTTTGATTTGCATTTCGTTATTGACTTGTTTTTCAATATATTATGATATTAATCCCTTTATCAGGTAGTTGATTTGCAGCTATTTTGTCCCATACTGCAGGTTATCTTTTCACTCTCTTGTTCTCAAAACAACAACAACAAACAAACTAAAAAAAAAACCACAAAAGTTTTAAAATGTATATATATATATATATATATATATATATATATATTTCCTGTGAGTTAAAATTATTTTTATTGTGAACAATACATATATTTCTTTAACATTATTGTAAAAATTTTAAAGACTTTTTTTGTGTTTATGCCTATAACAAAATTGGGAAGAAGGTACAGAGATTTCCCATAAATCATTTGCTCCCACACATGCGTTGCCTTCCCTTCCCTTTTTTTTTTTTTTTTTTTTTTACCAAGACTGAAACTACACAGCAACATGTAATCATAATCACCCAAAGTTCATAGTTTACCTTACTTTACTTTGTTGTACATTCTATGGGTTTGGACAAAAGTATAATGACATATTTATCATAATATACAAAGTATTTTCTTTTTTTTCCCATCGATCCAATATA